GTGTTTTCTTGGTTTCAGGTAGAGAGGTCAACGTTCCACATATTTAATCGTTATGAAGTCCCGTTTGCTAGAAAAGTAAATGGCAAAATAATAAATAAACGGTAGCAGATTATTTCAGTTTGCGTGTTAATTTATTGTTAACTCATAATAGTTTGAATCTGTAGGTTTTTTGCTATTTTGTCTCAAGAAATTGTGCAAAACTAATAATATTCATATTCGCTCTCAAGAATGAATCTCTTAATTCCAAAGGTAGAGAGTCAAACATACGTCGCATCACACCAGCTGACTGATTGCTTGAATTTTTCGTTTGTAGTGCATATTTGGGGCTGAGTTTTTGTTGCACGATAAGAATTTTTGAAAAGAATCAGTTAAACAAGAAGCCTTTTTCCTTCCCCTCGGAAGTTAACTGGTAAGCCTCGACTTCATGTACTCTAGGACCCAGTTTTCCCAGCTCAAGGTCAAAGTAGTAACTCGTTCAAAGAGTGACGCGTGATTGCCTAGTAATACAGTATTTCAAATGAGCTCAGAAAAGCTGATCGATACTACCAGCAAAATACCATTCTTTCTTAATTGTTTGTATGTTTTCGCGCGGAAAATAAAATACCACGCCTCTTATCACAAAATGCGTAGGTTGCTTTATTATAAGATGCTGCAACCGTTTTTTCAAAATGCGCAAGTTATTACAAAACGCGTCGTAAGTACACATTGCCACAAAACAACAAATTGAAAAAAAGTTCAACCTCCTCCCTTCAAGACAAACTTTATTTCAACAATTGATACACCAAAATTGATAATATGAATGGGCCATTAAATCACTGTGTTATTTTCAATCCCACAATAACATTTGATTTATCAAGTCCTGAAACCTGTAAAGTAAGAAAATGAAAACGAATATCAGTTGTAAATAAATCGTACTTTATCGTATTAGGATATAAGGCGGTGGTCTGTTCGGAGTCAAGCATTTTAACTTTTCGCTCTTCTAGACAGAACCTAACTATGTCGAAACAGCTCTCCACTTTTAGATATCTATTAAATTGCGAGATATCGTATAGAGGTAATAGGATAAATTAAACAGCAGTTTACAACGGTTATTTGATGGAAAATGGGGTTTGCAAAGGTTGAAAGTGAATTTGATGGGCGAATTAATGATGACCTAGAGAAAATTCACCATCTTAGATAAAATCATGTGTCTTTCAACATCGTATAAAATATGGATAACCCATTAATTCTTAATGTTTTTTTAATTTAAAACCTTTATCTTGGATAAAGTCACGTGTCCCATACAAGCGTATAAAACAAGGATAACCCATAATTGTTCTCTCCTCCTGACTTACTACCCTTTGGAGGAAAAGTAGTTTGATAAATTTGAAACACAGCAAAATAAACAAAGGGTTCATCCATTTTATTTTAATTCAAATAAAATTTTGGTTGTTTATCGTCTTGTTCTTGCGAGGGCCAAGTAAACAATTCTTTGTAGTGGTAACTAACCTGAGGCCCGATTTCATATGTTCAGCACAATCGACATGTCTTCTTGCATTTAATTCTTACGTAAGCGTTAGTCGAGCATTGAGAAGCGAACATTGGACAGTACTTGCTGCTATCCTTACACGCAGGCCCGATACCACCACCTCCACCTGCGGAATAGAAACAGAATCAAATTTTACCGGAGCCAGATGAGCTGCCAGTCACGTGGGTAAACGTCTTATACAATTATGATCTCCCCATCAGTTATGTGGAGATCAATTATCTGTACCATTATCTACCATCAAATATATCCCCATTTCTACTAGCATAAAAATGTGACAGTCATGGCGGCCACTTTGGTTAGATTTCAACTTCTTCTTATGGAAATCATCGAAGGCCATTCATGTTACGCGCTGGTTGCCTACAAGTTTGCGAAGGGATACCGTACTCCCCCCTTTTTCTTTTTAAACACGATTGTTCTCAAGAAGCATATTTAGTCACTCAGTTACTAACTATAATAACACATATTGTAATAGAGAAAAACATGGAAAGAGTGTAGAGGGAAGGGGGCGATTCTATTTGTTTTGTTTTGTTGTTTTTGCTATGTGATATGAGGACAAGAGAATATAAACTCTTTATGATCTCTTGAAGAGGATTATTAAGATGATTTAATCCAGAAAAGTTGTTTGAAAGCTTCATTACTAATGACAGTATTGTCTTTACACCCATAAATGTAATGCACATATATTTAATAACTTACATAGTCCGCATGACTTTTTGCATATTTGCTTGACGTACGGATGGGTGTTACAGTACTGTTTTAGGTACGGGCAGTTTCTGTGGCCATCTGTACATGCTGAAAATATAGGATTAGAATTCTGTTTATTTTTTCTTTGAATGGGCATGAAGTAAACTATTAGGTTGGTGGACTTTGCATCCATTTTGAATTAGATATAGAAGATAAAGATATAAAAGAATCATACAGCACCTTCCCTTCAGAAGTAAACGTACCAAAACCAACAGCAAAACAAAAGTAAAACAACGAATCATTAAAAAAAAAGAAACCAAAACAAAACAGACAAACAGAAAAAGAAAAAGCCTAATTAGACGAGAAAAAAATTGGTATGTTCTAGCTTTTAAGCGTTGGGGAACAACATTACCCGAACAGTCAGCGGTAACTGCTTTAACTTTTGATTAGGCCTCATCAGTATTGCATATATTTCCGGTTTTTAAAGGTCACTTAGACTGCTGTGCACATGTCTAAGCCGGAGGATAGTTTTTGTTAGTGACTGGCCCACAGGGGAAGAAAAACAGGAAGTCAGTAGCAACCATCACAATTGATTTCCGTATCATAAATATAAGAAGCAGACATGCTTACCACCTCCGCTGCCACCACTGCCCCCACTGCCCCCACTACCAGACATTTTCTGATTGAGCCAGTCAATGAAACTGCTGACACGGGCAAACACAGTGTAGAATTCAGTCCTGCACATTCCATTTCCCCAGCTGACTGCACCTCGTAAAACCCATCCATCATTTTCTTTACAAACAAAAGGACCTCCACTATCTCCTTGGCAACCACCTGCCTGGTTTGCTTGTCCACTTCCTGCACAGAGCATACTCGATTCCTCGACCGGAGCGAGTTGACCGTTCGTTCTGCTGCACGTGTTGTGATCTACAACTGGAAGTTTTGCTTGCTGTAGGGCGTCTGCGGCTGGGCCACCTCCGATGATCCTTCCCCATCCTGGTAGTAAAGATAATAAGATCTTGAAGCAGCTAGCTCTCTATTGCGGACTGAATTTTCGGGAAACTTAAAATCATGCTAAAACCGTCCCGTGTCTACTAAGTTCTATTTATCCCTTACGTGGAAAATTAACTTTCAGATCATCCCAATTCTTTGATCCTTCTGAGCTTCACCGGCCATCGATGTTTTGAAACACTTGGAGATTTTAGGATTCCCTCCGCCCTCTCCTCCAAAAATGTTCTTACATCTGGAATTTTCAGAAATCCGATGATTGTCATGAAAACGGAATAGATGCAAAACGTTTTGACTCGATCAAAAAGATCAGAGTCTGCCTCTCCTCATAGAAGAAAACGAGAAATATGTTATCATTAGTGTAAATACTAAATTCTAGATACTAAATTCACAAAAATAAAGTTGACAAATACAATTACCACAAAATATGATTTTTTCGAGCCCGTAAGCAAACTTACCAGTGATGAAACACTCAGTTCCCGGTGAAATTCTACTTCCTTTAGGTGGCAAACAAACCGTGTTGACTTTATCACTTAGTTGAACTTCGCCATCCAGTTGCAGCAGGGCAATGTCTTTCCTTAAATGGCTCATTGAGAATCCTTCGTGTTTGAAAAGCTTTTTCAAATTGAATGTTTGTTGTACAGCTGTAGTCCCAGTTCTGATGTGGGCCCCTACATAGTGAGAAAACTTAGTGACCGTTCGTCATCGTTGGAGGGAAGGGGAGGATTTTGGGAGATCACATAGTTTTCAGGGGAAAAGGAAGGATGAACAGTCTTCGCAGAGAATAAAGGGGGGGACTTTGGAAAATTAAATGGCAATGAGGGGGGGGAGGGGGGTGATGATAAGAATATTGGGGGATCAGGTTAATGTTGCCGTTTCATAAACAGAATCCTCCAGCCTCCCCACCCCACATCCCCAGACGATGTAAAATGAACGGTCTCTCAGAAGCGTGAGTGATAAACTTACACTCCATGAGTAAAAGATTCAAGAAATTGTGTTGCAAAATGTGTTTCAGCAATTAAGGATGAGGTAAAATTTTCGCTTTTCAAGAGACCTGGCAATGCTACCTCCGATCTCCGATTATTCAACATGTGCACTTACCAACTACCACTGTGTACCCGCTAGGATCTGGGTTCCTTTCTACGCAGTGAGCAGCAGTTACAACCCAACCAGGCTTGATTAGAGATCCTCCGCAAATGTGTCGTCCATTCACCCTGAGAGAGATCTGCCAAGGCCACGAATGCGGCGCAGCATCATCCCCGTTAACCACACGGGCACCAGGCGGACGAGAACCGCACCCTGAAATTCATCAATACATGCAAGATTATGGAGTTAACAGACAAATGAAAACACAAAACCCCAGATTACCTTACATGATTGTCACGTTCTTATGGATCCAAATAAAAGTTATCCCAAAGATAAAGAAGGCACCAGTCACTGATCATGAAGAGATATGCGGATTAGGATCTTTCACGAGGATCGAGAGAAAAATGAATTGCATTGTTCTGTTTTTTTTTTTTTTTCTTTTATGCGGAAAAGTGGGAAGCTTCCTGTGATCTTGAAACAGAGATATTGATATGGTTACATATTAGTACATGTACTTGTTCTCAAGAATGGGCAAAAAAACACTCTTAGTTTTACCATGCTATTCGTAAATTAATTTTGCGTCATACTTTGCTTTAGTATGTATGACCTTTCTAAAATGAAAAGGATGGGGGATTGAAAAATGAAAAATTTATGAAGTGTTTCGTACCTTCAGAAAGAGCAGGAATACAAAGAGCTACAACAGCGATAAAAACAGACAACATGATAATGGAATCCTATCCAAGGTAGGAAGTGAGCGAAGACAAGACGCCGTTACATTTATAAAAAGGCAATTTTTTCAGCTGACAGATGTATAGCATCGGCTCCTCTTTATTGTGCATTGTCATTTTAAAAAAAGTTGTCTTTTTTATTCGCCGCTTTTTTCTCTGGAATTGCCCTTTTAAGAAACAATCGCCCTGCAATTACCCTTTTAAACTGCAGCTTTATTGATTGTTAACAAAAACGATATGAAATGGTTATTTTTTAATAAATCCCACGACTGATGACACTTTAGTGTTAATCATATGCGTTGAAACAAAGCTTCATCCATCCGCGGTGTTAATTTGGTTTTTGAAAATGCGACACACAGATCTCAGATTAACCTGGAACACATCTCAGAGTACAATACTGTCAAAAACTTCAGTTAAGCATTAGTTAAGCATCAGTTATGACAGAAAGCGGCCAGTCACATTATATTTCCCTAGTAAGTCCGCTCCAACAAGTTCCTTAATTTTTGTCTTCGTATTACGTTCAAAGGCAAAATCCTAATGAAAAAAACTTATCTATCGATAAAGCAACCATATTGATTACATTCAAGAATTTTTTTTACAGATACCATAGTTTTGTAAGAATGCTCATGTACGCATTGACGACTATTTCCTCGTAAAATAAAAATGGGAATGACTTATGGCAATTTAACAACTATATGATACAAGGAACTTGCCAAAAACTGCTAGACTCATTCTCGATGTCCTAAAAATATCTAATATAGCCAAATGTAAATATATTTTTGAAAGTTTGTCAACTGTTTGCTTGGTTCTGTAAACAGTAATTATCTTCATATAGCAACAATAAAGACATCCTTTGTGATCATGTCCTTAAATGCTGTTCACGCAAGCTAGGAAAACGTAATCGCTTCATTTTTTGATGAAGCAATTTGTATAGTTTTCAGTAAGTCTTAGGTTTAAAACTTTGACAAGCTACCCAACCGATTTTTTTTGGACGATCTGTACAGAGAGAAAATTTAATAGAGGATAAAATAACTGGTTTTACATTATAAAACAAACTTGTTATCCATGTGAGCCACTATCGACGTCCTGTACATCTGAACGATGCTGTAACAATAAGATGAGGGAAGATGTCTTTGACCACGATACTTTCTACCCCTTACGGTGCTATCAACTTTAAGAAGGACCACTCATGGTCTTCTCAGTGTACACTTGAGCCCCTACGATTGACAACAATTTAGTTTCACCCCTTAATCAAAGACTAAAGTCAAGAGAATAAAGGAAATAATCACAAACTCAAAAAGCTCCACAGGACGAAATTGCAAGAATCCGTAAACGGAAACGTGGCAGAAACATGTTAAACCGTTCTGGAAACACGACGGATAACCTGTGTTTCCGTTACCGGTTTCGTGACGTTTTCTCGCGTTTCCGTTGCTGCGTATACAACGGAACCGGACCACTTTTTGTGCATGTTAAACATAACGGAAACATGGAGTTGCATGTTTCCGCCACGTTTCAGAAATACGGAAACATGTGATTTCGTCCTGTGCTCTTGATTGTTCGTTACTTTCTCCTTATAAGATCCATGGGAAATGTATAGAGAACAGTTTCAGTGAAGAACTTGCATAATTATAGTCTAAAGGGTAACAGTTTAAAGATGGAGGTGGGGAACAGGCTTTGATCCACAAAAGAAATCAGTCGGACGTCAGCTGTGCAATTAAACAACAACTTTATGTTTTGCAAGTTTTAAAATCATTTCGAGTGTCTCTGTGAAACACTAGACCCTTCAAAATTTAATGTGCTACAAAATTTCTTGTTTACTTCGCTAAATGCTCTGGCGGAATTGGTACGCAATGTTCCAGGTGAAATTATTCAGATGGAAACTCGCATTGAAGACTATCGCTTAATTTAATGGAAACACACAAAAAATGAAAAAGCACTTTCAATCCCTTTGGCAACTTTATTTTCCCTCTTTGCTATTTCTAATACAAGTCACAGGTCTTCGCCTTTCTTTGAGTTTTCTTGAGATATCGACGGACGCCTAGCTGTCTTTACGCCATATCTGCCGGAAAATAATATAGAGGAATCATTGTCAAGAACTTTGTCATCCTCCTCGTACTGAGTGAGGCTAACACAGATATTTACTCACCCTTAACTTTTGAGTCAGTCCAATCCCTGAAAGAGCTTATTCGTGCAAAGACATTAAAAAAGTTAGTCCTGCACATGCTATGACCCCAGCTAACAGCACCGCGTAAAACCCATCTGCCATTTTCTTCGCATACGTATGGTCCACTGCTATCACCTTGACAACCACCTGCCTTGTTTGGTTTACCACTTCCTGCACAGATCATGGATGTTTTGTCAATTGGTGCCCCTACTTTGCCCCACTTTTTGGAACATCGCCTGTGACTCTGTGCGGGAAGCATCGCTTGTTGCAAGATGTCTGCGACGTCGCCTCCACCTTCAGTCCGACCCCATCCTGAGTTAAAGAATTTAGGTAGAAAATTTTAAATAAAGGGGTAAGTTTCTAAAGAAACTGTGGTGCTGCGTCGGTGGGAGAGTATAGCAGGTAATTTAGTGTTAACAACTGGGTTGAAAACGTAAATTAGCCATCGTAAAGGGTAAAAAAGCTGACGTTTCGAGCGTTAGCCCTTCGTCAGAGCGATTAGAGGGAGAGAGAGAGATAGAGATTAGAAAATTTTAAAAGCTACTTAATGTTATCCCCTTCCTCCCCCCACCCCTTTGCGTTTCTTAATATTAATTACCTGTCATGTAGCATCGGTGGCGGGCTGAAATTCGAGATCCTTTGGCAGGAAGGTAAACGGAGCTGACTTTGTCGCTCAATTTGGCCGGTTTGCTAAGGTGTAGAAGGGCGACGTCATTTTTTAAGGCGTTGCAAACTGAAGTCCTCGTGGGCAAAGAGTGCTCTCAGTTTAATTGTCTGCTTTACATTCGTTGTGCCAAGACGCTCGTGTGCACCTGGAAAGGTTTCAGCATTACACCAATTTAAGTGCAGAGAAGGTAAGAGAGACAAATATTACATTGTATACTCTTTTACTCTTGAACTCGTTCAGTCTTCAAAAGGTTTTTGGCAAGTTTTCGCTCTTAAGCCATGCGTAATTAATACAAGCGTCCTGAAATTTAAAAAAATATTGGTACCAACTCACTCGATGATGAATATGTACTTATTCTTACCGACAATAACGGTATAAAAAGAAGGATCCCGTGGAATATCATCCTGGTCCACCACACACTGCGCTACCGTCACAACCCGTTCGTCTGTGATCAAGGAACCGCCACAGGCGTGCACCAGGTCTCATAATTGATTGAGAACTCGCAGCGACACCTGCCAGGGCCACGACTGCTTCGGTGCATCCTCGCCACCAACAACTCGAGAGAGAAAGCGTCGTTTGCCGCACTCTGGAGAGATGTAAATTGACTATATAAAGAGCACACGGAAATGCGTAAACTGCTACAAAGTCTACTTTATATGGAACCTAACTAGAAAATGTGAACCGTGCGAAGAGGTTTAGATTGAACTTAACCCTTTTTACTTAAATATTGTACCTTGGGAAAGTACCAGTTTTAGGAAATAGCCACCACAACCACTTGTAAATAAAGCTTCATCTTTTTGGAAAGTTTCTTCTGGCTGTGAGAAAATTCCCTTGCATGGAGGGTTTATATATATATATATATGTTCAGTCGTGTTGTAATCGCAAGGTGTCCAAACATCATAACAAATTATAAAAGCACTTTCAGTAATGGACTGTCCTCTTTTAAGTTGTCTGGGTCAAATCAGCCGTACGTGCTTGTTGTCTGTATACTTGAGTCAAGGTTAACGCATCAAGTGTAACCTTCGTGACCTCTAATACTATTGGTTACTTTGTGATGTTTATTAGTCTTGAAAATTTCTTTCAGTGCAATTAAGGTTTACCACTTTATCGTTTAACACTACCGCAGCGAATCTGAAGAATTTTTCTTCACCAACAAATTCCATATTCTTGTTTTATTGAAATCACTTTCAGATATGTCATGACATTATATTTCATAAATACTTCACTTTACCTTTGTTCCTATTTCCTTGAAATGTTTGCATCATGATTAGCAAAAACAACGATGGTTTAAAATGGCCTCTAGTCAGAAGTTTACAATGATGTTTACATGCATAAAAGGGCACAAAGCCAAGAATTGACAATTCTCATGATTTGTATTGAAGTTTTTTTTTAAAGACAGTATTATTTCACGTGAAATGACCAGGAAGTCGCGCCAGGCCTAAAAAACTTACAAGTGGTCGGACGCAACGGAAGACACTTTATGTGGAACCTAATTCAAGGACAATTGTGGCACTTTCGCTTTATTGAGCAACATAAACCAACACACAGTACTAGCAATGTTGTCTGCACACGCGGTCACGCAAGCACTCTGAATTATGGTTTGTGCTCCTTAAGACTGTCATATTTGAGGCGGCTGGTATTTTATGTATTCCTAACCGAAGGTCAATGCATCACGTCTAGTTCAAACAGTGTTTTTTTTTTTTTCTGGTTAAATTTTACTAATATTTATGTTCATCCAAATATTCTCTCATCGTCTACCGTTACCACTGCGAATCTGAAGAAAATTCTTGAAATAGCAGTTTTTAATGTTCTTATTGTCAAAACATGGGGAAGATTATCGAGGCCAAATATTTAAAATGTCATGAAATATTGAATTTTCGTTATTCTTTAACCGGCACTGTTTTTTTGCTCTCAAAAAAACTTGCATTAACCGATTAGTCTGAGCCGTTGATGGTTTCAAGTAGCCTCTAAACAAGCGTTTGTTTATATGCACAAAAAAGAATGGCGGTCATTTATTGTTTATTCTCGTTGTTGCTGTAGGTGGATTTTAAGCATGTTTAACTTCACATTAAATGGTAGGAAAGCCAGGACTGAAATCTTTAGAACGGATGGTTGTTTCAGAAGATTTTCCGAGTAAAACCGTATATAGGCACTTTAGGCTAATTGAGCTAGGCTACGAAATTTTGATTATTTTACGAAGGCAGAAGACACGCTGGGTTTAACCTAGTTTTGGGACTATAATGAATGCACGTTTCATTTTGTTACAAGGAACAATGCAAGGTGTCACAAAATATCACTATGGAAACCTTCAGGTAAGAATCTGTGCTCCCTTAACTTGTTTGGTTCGATAGAGGTGGCAGGGCGTTTATGCTGACTGTATATCCGATTCGAGGATCAACCCATTTATCCTTCCATTCTCAAAAATGAGTAAAGAGAAATTTCGTGCATATCCGTGCATTTTTGGGCAAACAGGTGATGAGGAGAAAGGAAGTTATCAATCGGGGAATATTGTTTTGATTTAATACACCAAATTGTCGGAGCCGGGAAATTGTAAGAAACTTATGGCAAGCAATTTTCGGCTGCAGGCTTCGAGTTTCTTGCTACGTATGGCTCAAGGACTCTGAAAAACTTTACCAACGTACAGGAAAAATCAAATTGAGGAAACCACGTATTTTTAACAAAATAACGAACTGCACTTTCAATACCCTTCTCAAATTTATTTTCTCTTTAACCACATCAACTAAAATCACTGGTCTTTGCCTTTCTGTTAGGTTTGTTGAGATACACGACGGACACCTTTATTTACTCCGTACCTGGAAAACAGCAAAAAGGAAGCCCAATCAAGAACTTTGTTATATTTTTTAACAAATTGAATGAGTAAGTCTGAACAAATTGACTCACCGGATCCTATTCCATCACCTAGATTGATCGACGAAAAAAGGAAAAGGAAATTAAGGGATAAAGACGGTTAACTTTGTTATATATGGAATGGATATCTGGAGAAGTAGCAAGTTTTGTTGCTCAAAAATCCAACCTCTGGGACACAGCCAATCAGAGGGGTGTAATTAACAGACACGACCTGGCATTTGGATAAACTCGAAAACCTTAATTGGTGTTCATATCCTGTGAATATTTCACCTAAACATTATGCTACCATCTGTCTCGCAAAATCTCTTTTTATACAAGAAGAAATAAAACAGTCCATAAACAAAGATATCATTTAAGCTAAAGAAGAGTGGATTATTTAGTACACATCTCAAATACACTGCGAAAATGATTAATTTCGTCGCATAAAATCATATGTCGATCGGAAAGCTATTTTAAACATCGCTAAATTAGTATTTGATCAAAGCCTGATAAACAGTTAAACAAAACAAATTTCTCAATGGGGCTAAAAATCAGCTTGAATTTATACTGTTTAAAAGCCCATGATCACAGCTTTAACTGTTAAAACAGCATATGGGAAATAAAGAATGTAAAATGCTCATTGTTTAGTTTGACGGAAAAATAAATAAAATCAATTGGTTTGTTTGTAAAATTTCCGATGTACCTGTGTTAGAATTCTATGAGGAGCCTTTGTAGCAACTTTCATAATCTACAGCGTGTTAAGGAAATCATTATTTTATCTGAGTTAATATATCATACATAATGAGTTTTTTTTATCGGTAAGGACATTCCCTTACCCTCAATCTTCGCGTCAATCCAATCCCTGAAAGAGCTTATTCTTGCAAAGACAGAAAAGTATTCTGTCTTGCACAAGCCATGACCCCAGCTCACTGCACCGCGCAAAACCCATTTGCCATATTCCGCGCATACGTATGGTCCACCGCTATCACCTTGGCAACCACCTGTCTGATTTGCTTTACCACTTCCTCCACAGATCATGGATGTTTCGTCTATTGGTCCCAAATCGTCGTTTACTTTGGAACAATTTTCGTGGCTCTGTACGGGAAGTACCCCTTGTTGCAAGATGTCTGCGACGTTGCCTCCACCTTCGGTCCGACCCCAACCTAAATAAAAAGAATTAGAATATCAGAAAAAAGAATTGTAACAGATCAACGTCACACCTTGCATTGTTAACTGGTCATACCTGTTATGTAACAAGGATGGCCGGCAGAAATTCGAGATCCTTGGTTAGGAAGGCAAACGAGGTTGACTTTATCGCTCAGCTGGGCCGTTGTGCTTAGGTGTAAAAGGGCGATGTCATTCTTTAAGTGTTGCATACTGAAGCCCTCGTGAGGATAGAGTGCCTTTACTTGAATTGACTGCTGTACATCCGTTGTGCCGAGACGTTCGTGTGCACCTGAAAAATTTTTAAATTTCACAATGATTCTGTTGAAGTTGTTAAATCTTATCAAGAACTCTGAATGTGTCCTTGGTCCAACGATCGTGGAAAGTGAATTTTTCGTTCTGCAATCGTACTTCCAAACCAAGCTCTTAAAAAAGTTTTTTCGCTCTTATACCCTCTGCTATGCTTTAATCCTATTTCTCTTAAACATTTCCACGAAAACACCCAAGCATTATGTTGAAAGACTAGTTGCGGCGCCTTAGAAAGACGAACACAATTAGTTGTGAACGAGTTATCACGAAGTCGTCTTTGTTTGCGGCTTTAGTTTTGCTTAGCTTAGTTTTCGCGTCTTCGTAGCTTTTGTTACCTTGGTCAATTAGTCATGTATTGTGAGCAAGACTTTTTCCTAATCCGATGAAGTATTTGGTGGCAGAATGTTAGAGTGCTTTCCGAAGGATCTCGATATTAGTTTATTTTTATTGTTTCATGCGACCACATATTTCCTAATGTTAAGATTCCAGAATTGATGCTTCGCCAGCTCGGGGGACTCAGTCATTTAGCTTGACTTTCTGAGGGACTGAAAATATTTTGTACCGATCGATTCACCGCAGCTTCCTGAAAAGGGTTGCTTTACAAGCTTGTTTTCTTACCGAGAACAACGGTGAACAGAGAAGGATTCCCAGGTCTGTCACATCGGTCCACCACACAATGTGCCGCCGTCACCACCCATTCGTCCCCGATCAAGGAGCCGCCACATATGTGCACCGGATTTCCTTCGCGGCCTGGGAGTCGAAGTGACACTTGCCAAGGCCATGAATTCTTTGGTGCATCCTCCCCACCCACAACTCGAGAGAGAAAGTGTCGTTTGCCGCACTCTGTAGAGAGAAAAAAATTAGTACGATGTGGAATAGAAAGAAGGAAATAATCAAGTCCTCTTAAATGATACCTCAATTGTGATAAATGTGGAAAGAGATTAAAATTGGACTTAATTACACATCCATGCTTGGGAATTGTACCTTGGGAGAGCGCGACGTGTACGAAAAAAGCCACCACAACTATTTGTAACTTGAGCTTCATCTTCTCGGAAACTTGCTTCTAGTTATTGAACAAGTCCCTTTCTTATAGGGTTTTTTGTGCATGTTTATAAGTTTGGAAATTGCAAGGTGTTCAAATATCACTATGAAGCACTTTGAGGACACTTAAATGGTCTATTGAGCTGTTCGGCCTGGGCGGCAGGGGCATTTATGATGTCCGTATACCAGGCTGAGTCAAGGTTAACACATCAAATCTAACCCATGTAGTTTCTTCACTCTTGGCTATTTCAGGATGTTTACATAGTCATTCAAATTTCCTTTCAACATAACTTAAGGCTGACCACAAAAGCGTCACCCGTTACAACCGTGAATCTGAAAAAGTCCTTCAATAACAAATCTCATTGCTATTAAATTTAAATCACCTATATGTGTCTGGCAGCCAAATACTTCTAAAATGTATCAGCCCTTTATTTTAACCAAGCACTGGATTTATCTATTCCCAATGTTTGAATTGAATTTAGTGAAACGTTGATGGTTTGAAGAGGTTTGAAGTCGGATGTTGAAAATGGTGTTTATATACATAAAAAAGATCACGGTAACGATATTGCTAATCCTCGCAATTTTTTTTTTCTTTTTTCAATTTTTTTAGGCTTATTTTGGTAGATAATATTATATCACATGAAATGTTGAGGAAACCCGGCTAAGGAATTTTACAGTGCGGGTTAGTTTAATTCGAAAGACAAGCTGGGTATACCCTAGTTTTAGGATTATAATGGGGCACGTTAGTCCCATTAAGCAAAAAGGAACACGTAAAGTTATTACAAAGGTGTCCAAACATCATTATGGAAGCACTTTAAGTAATAATCCATTCTCTTTTTAGCTGTCTCACTTATGGCGGCCAAGCGTTTTTGTTGTCTGCATAACTGAGTGGAGGTCAAACCCTTCAATAAACTATCAAGCTTTTTTCCAATTTTTTTTTTTGGTCGCTGTTTATAAACCATTAAACCGTTTTCTCACAGCTAAATTAGGGTTTGTCGCCTTTATCGTTTACCACAGCTATTGTAAATCGGAAAAGTTCCTTCGCCAGCAATTTCCACATCTTTTGTATTGAAATCGTTAAGGAGTATGTCTCATTGTAGCCAAAAGTGTCATACATCATTTGTTATTATTTCTTATTCTTTCCAAGTGCTGAAAGAGGACTCCAGAGACAACCCATTATTAGGACTATTTATAGACGCTTTCGTTTAATTGACCGATAAAGAACAATTCAAGGTATTAACACAGTATCCAAACATCTGTACGGAAGCAATTTAGGTGAGGGTCTTTGCCCTCTTAAGCTGTCTGGCTGAAAGCGGCCGAGCTTTTACACAATCTGACAAAGTTTCCTTCAATGGCAATATTTGTTGTCTTGAAATGCAAATAAAATGGATTTTGAGGGCAGCCCGACGTCAAACAGCTAAAACCTTACTGCGTATTAGAAGATTGTTGACAATCATCTCTGCGAAAAAAAAAATGGAAATATATGATGCCAATTTATGTTTCTACTCCCTTCTTACCAAGCTAACATACACCTTGTTCGATAACATATGTGACCCTCGACGGGATTTCAGGGAATAAGGTGAACGCACGCACACGGCACGCTCCCACGCTAAAACAAAAGAACTAGCTTTTAACACGTTAGCTGCGTGTTAGTTACTTGCTTCATTAACTTCGCAACCATTGTCTTGCTTCGCTCGGTAGAAGCAGAGGAACGTGTTAAGATCTTGCTTGCATCTTTGCACGATATAACACGGTGACCGAGCCAATTTTATAACACGCCTCTTAAAGTTAGAGTTCCTTTCGATTTGTGCAAGAAGTACGTCCTAAGCCGTAAGAATTTTTTAGCACACTGATACGCCCTGCCGATACGATACTCAATATCCAGTGCAACTTCAATCGCTAAATCGCCAGACATAGGGAATATCTCGACTTATTGTCCATCATTTAAAATTATATTTTAGTTTTTTTTTTCCTTCGTTTTCGACTTCCTCATTTTCTTAAAACAGCTTGCAAGACACGGGCCGAACGAGCAAAGTCCTCTGCTCCTAAAATCGTGCATGAACTTTTGAAGGTAGAAGCAAACTTTTTAAAATGATAAGAGCGAACCTGAATGACGCAGAGCAAATGGCTACTTCGTTGAGGGTAAACTTTGTTCTCACCGTGTTTGTCTATTCTGCTAGTCTCCGAGGCATTATTTATTTATATTGTTAAATTTGTTAACCGACAAGTACGACAGTCCGTGTGGTGCAGCGGTAGTGTTTGCGCTCTCTAGATCGGCGGTGTGGGGTCCGTTAAATGCCAAGATCGGTGCACATTTAATAATGTGCAGCTTCGCACGGAAAGCTTCGTTTTGTGCCGGCTAAACTAGGGGTTATTTAATTTAAAAAAAAACGATTTGCTTAGAGTGACGAACAGCAACCGCGTCGATCAGGAAACATGAAGCCGGAAATTTGTTGCTGAAGGATTCACAAAGATTCGGTACTAGGCTTATTAACTATGCGAAGCGATAAGGATTTATATTTTACAAGGTGAGAATTAAGTTTCAAAAGAGTAACTCAAGTGTTCAAACTGAGCTCCTCTGAACCTTGTGAAACACGTCGTGCTCACTGAATTCCTTGTGAAAATCCGCAGGGAAAGAGCCGTGATTTACAATGAATGTTCCTTTTTTCATTCCAACTTTCGAATAGGACAGAAGATTTCCTTCATTTTGGCCTATATTCTGTAAGTTTCTCCTTTAGAAACACCATTCTCACAATTAAGAAGCTAAAAAACACAAGTAACAAACTTTTTTTAATTAAAGAAAAAGTATGACAAGGAAAAATAGATCATCTGCAGTTCAAATGTATGACTTTCGTATATTCACAGTCGTTTATTCATCACTTCATGGGTTTATTTGGAACCAACATAATAACTAGCTCCCAGTTGGCTTGATAGCTCAGTTAGTAGAGCGCCGCACCAGTATCGCAAAGGTCATGGGTTCAAATCCCGTACAGGCCTGAATTTTTTCAGGCCTTATTTTCTCTATGCTCAAGTAGTGTTCATTGCTGCGAAGATCGCTTTCATACTCACGTCTTTATCCGCAGTTCAAATATATGACTTTCATATATTCACAGTCGTTTACAAGTAACAAAGTAAGCTGGGTTGTACCAAATAAGCTAGCATGTTAAGGAAACAAAGGAACGTAGTGCGTTAGCAGAAAATCTAGCGTGTTATAGAAAAAAGCTTCACCGTGTTAGCCAGATATGAACAATGGCTTCGGTAACGGTAAACGTGTCATTACGTATATACGTAACGTGTGTGAGCGTTCACCTTAGTCTCTGAAACCCCGTAGAGGGTCACATATCCTACGCGCAGATATTCTGTGAGCTTTTTCACAGAGCTGAAATACCCCCCTCTGCAACTCGTGTACATCAGCACAGCATTCTTGTACTATTTTGTACACAGGAGCAAAATCATGTAGCATTTTATATTGCCTATAGAAGATCAAATGACAATAAAAAAAATCCCATAAAAATTTATTTTGTTCGCCTTAAACAAACTTCTCGACGACGCTAAAATTGTAATTTACTAAAAATGCGAATTTGCCATCAGGTTGTTACATATGTGGTTCACATGGATCGTCAGCTGGTGCTGATGAAAACTCAAATCCTTTCAATCTTCCGAAACAGAACTGTTCTGACATAACCGTTATTATAAATTTGTTTGTTAAAATTGAGGCTAGCACTTACAATCTAGGAAGATAAGAAGTACAATTATTGCACACTGTTTCTTTGTAAACGACTACTTGCATATTCATAAAAGAGGCCGGTTTTAATTGGTGTGATGTAGTAAATTACAATATGAAGCATTCCTGACTTTATTTCCTTGGGAATTATACTTAAAGAGCATCATGTTTATTGACTTTAAGTCATACTTGCGAAGAATATGACAGTTTTCATGTAATAAAACAAATTCAACACAAACACAATTCAGTGAAGTAGAAGCAAATATTGGATCAGTGAGACAATAAAAGTAACTCATTTCATTGGGACTGAAACTGGCTCAAAGCAGGATTTCTGTGTAAATTCTTATAACGAACGCTTGATTAACTTATTTCCTCCTTTCTCCCTGTTAAAAAAGGAAGTTAAAATTTCTTTTTAATAAAAAGATAAAGAACTCAAAATCCTTTGCATTTTCGGGAAATGATAGGAGGACCTTCTCGTATTTTCTAATTACTTTTTATGTCAATCTCATCAAGGCAAAACTCAAACATGATTGGTGCTTGTATCCAAACATCGTTTTTATGAAAACGCCGCTGTTTGAGGTAGCGTCACAAGAAGGAAAGGGTGCCTTTGACGAGTAAAGAGAGCCTGGAAGCTGTGAAATATGGTTTCTTCGACATTCCTGAAACTTTTTTGTGTTGCTTTATTTTCACTGAACTGTTTGGGAGGTAAGATTGCCTATACGTGTTTTAAGTAGCTAAGAAATAATCTCAGGAGCTTCTGCGTTAAAAATGATTTGCTTGCCGATTATTTGATTAACACTAAGTTTAAAAACAGCAGAAAGTAGGGTTCATTTTAAAATATGAAACGCAGTGAAATCAACGCTACACTTATAGTTAAAAATTTGACATATTCTTCGGTTAGGTAACGAGACTATAGGATGTAGCACTACTATCGGTAAAATACTGAACCTAAGAGGAACAAACATTCAAATGATGTTGCTTTCAAACTACTGAGGGTTTGCTATATCCTTCTTTTCTGATCTCAAGTACATTTATCTCTATTCGAGCGATTTAAGTGGCTTTCTCTAAGTGAATTAAGACATTAGACAATTGGAGCAAGAATCGTGGGATCAAAACAACTTTTTGGTGTTTACAGTTTTAATTACAGTTGTGCTTTATTAGTTTTAATGTGGAAAGAGATTAGAGTTTTGTGAAACGTGGGAAAAACTGCCACACTTTTCATAAAAAGAATAAAACATGCACAAGTGATGAAATTTAAAACAAAAAGTTTATTAGTTTCAATAACGGGTATCAAATCTTAGGTAAC